CACTTGGCATGTGCCGCCGCAGGTTCACGTGGCAAGATCGCGGAATGGTACATAGCAGAGCTGAGCGCTCCCGTGGAGCTGGTGCAGGTGATGCGCTCACCCCGCTACGCGTGTCGTGGTCACAGTTGACAAGCTGCGGGCTTGCGCAACAACCCGTGGGCTCACGCACGCAGCTGCCTGAGGTGCTCCTCGACGAGCACGGCGCGCCCGCGCATTGCGCTCCCCCTCCAGGTTAACATGCAGGCAAAGCAGCACAAGTCGCCAGAGTACCTGAAGCTGCACCCTTTTGGCCAAGTGCCGGTGCTGGACGACGACGGTTTCACGTGAGGGGGCTGGGGCTGGCATGTCCACAGCACAGCGGGTGATCCCAGCGCTGCAAGAACGGCAAGGGGTGCAGAGCTCCGGCCACCGGTGCACTGGCCGCGGTTGTCGAAAGCAGGGCGCCTCGAGTGGGGAACGTTTGGGGCAACTGCGGGTGCACTTCACATGGCCAGGACAAGCCGACTGCGGTAGCGCACCAAGCCTGGTGTGCCCAAGGCAGTCACTCCCTGCATTGCCCCTTCTCCATTGTGCGCCCCAAACTCGGTGCATTTGCATGCATGTTTACGCCCTGACTCAACCCAGCTTGTCTCGCACCCGCGCTGCAGCGTTTTTGAGTCGGGCGCCATCCTGCTGTATCTGGCGGCAAAGTACGCAAAGGTACGGGTACCAGGAGCAGGTATCAGCAGTCGCCATCCACCCACTGGGCGCAGTTGGCCCCGGGCAAAGCTGGTCACACTCGTTTGAGGGCTTTGTCCACACACGCTGATCTTCACCCCGCAGCTGGTTTGGCCGGCCGACTTTTTTGAGCCCACAGCGTCTCCTGCCCCCACAGCGTCCCCTGCCCCCCAATCGCATGCCACCCGGTGCCCGGCAGCTCGACACCGCAGCAACTGGCAAGGCGGCGCAGTGGACGGTGTTTGCCAACTCCACATTGTGAGTGGCCTCCCCCTGCTCTGCGATGTCCGCTTGCCTTCCGGCTCTCATCCCCCTGCCTGCCTGCTGCCTCCCACACACTGTGTGGCCTGCCCGCCCGTCCGCCTAATCGCCCACCTTGCCATGCTGCCTACCTGCCTGCGTGCCTGCCTGCGTGCCTGCCTGCCTGCTATTTCCTGCCTACCCGGATCCTTGGCTTGCTGCCCGACAGATCGGCTGCGTGCCCACCCACCTAGCACCTTGGACCACCCTGGGGTGTCCATCCCCACCCCTTCCACCTTGCACGACGACCTGTTTCCCCGCCCCAGGACTGACGTCTTCTTTGGCATAGAGAAGAACAAGAGAGACTCGGTCATGAACGTGAGCACGGCGCGCAAGCCTCGGTGGTGGTGCGAGCATGGTTAAACCACGCCTGGCCTGCGAACCACCAGCTCAGCTGCATAAGCATATGGTCGCCCGCCAATCGCGTGCTTCGCTGCACACCAAGCCCCTTTGATTGGAAGTGGCTCCTCGTCCCCTCTCATGCTCTCACAACGTAAGCTGCCTTGAAGCACGCCCACCACCACCGGACACCACCCTTGTGCACACCCATCAGGCCCTGGATGGCATCCTGGCCAAGCAGCCTTACCTCGAGGGTGGGCCCGCAAGAGGACCAGCCGGGGACCATCCTGACCCTCCACGCCATGCGCACGCATGTGGCACCTGCTGATGCAACGCCACCATGCAACAGCCCTACATTCTTGGCGGTCCCATTTGCAAGCCGCTCCCCCCCTGCACACCACACACTGCGCCGGCTTTGCACCACACCACACTGCCTGCAACGACCCCAGGTGACGAGTTTACGCTGGGTGACGTGGCGGTCGGCTCCTACCTGCTGTACCTCACCGTCTTCTTCCCGGACATGTTCCCCATCAAGCAGCAGAATGTGTGGGCCTACATGCAGGTGCGGTGCACTTGCAACAGGATGGGGGGATTGGTGGTGGTGCTAGGGCCCTGTCTGAGCAGGCGAAGCCGACAGCAGGGAACGGGGCGGGGCGCTGCTTGGCGCTCTGAGTTGACCGCGTGCAACTGCAAGGGAGGGTGCGCTGCGGGCCTTTCACAGGCCGTCACCTCCTCCCTTCTCCTGTATGGGCCCAACCATGCGCAGCGGCTGGCGGCCCGAGAGGCATGCCCAGCCACTTTCAAGCAAAGCATGGCAGCTTTGGTGGAGCGTATCGGCGGCAGCAGTGGGGGCAGTGGCGGGCTAGGCGGGCTTTTCTCCAAGATTGTAGGGGGGCAGTGATGGCACCGCAGAGCTGGCCCAGTCGCGCGCAACATGACAGCCCGGGTTGGTGGTACGCTGTTCAAGACGACCCTGTCTTGTCAGCCGGCCCCACCAAGTGGCCTGTCCAGCTACAAGCTTCCTGTCTGTAAATACACAGAGGGGGTAACCACCCCCGGACCAACACAACACATCAGGGTATGCGACAAGTTGGACGTTGCCGAAAAGCTTGTGTGCAATGAGGACCACCTCCATCTGATGAAAGGCATGCAGCCAAGCTCTGTGTATTGGTGGCCCTGCTCGCGCGCTTGCATGAGACTGCAGGGTATGCTGGTTGGCGGCGCGCGCTGATGGCATCGCCCACCAGGGCGTGCTGTCCTCGCTTCTTCCAGAGACCGCCTTTCCTTAATTTACACGTACAATGGTGTCAGTTGTCACGGGCCGCCGTGGTGGCTGAACTTTGAGCAACTCGTTGCATGCGGTTCGGCACCCGGACGATGTGGGGTGACATGCCGACAATTCCCTGGCATCAAGTTTTGCGATGCTGGCCAATTAGATTCAAACCTGATGCGGTTCTTATTGACGGGGCCGCTTCGTCATTAGCCGAGTGGATCTGCAGCAGCCAGAAGTCCGGGTCCTGGGCCGCGCTATACATTGGGTTCTCATCTGAGCGGGTAGTCCAAACAAAGTCAATAAGCGCCCAAGATCCAAATTGTGGGCCTGGAAGGCGCAGCGTTATCCATCTTTCCCGTCTTCTTGACCTGCGACATTCGAGTCGCTCGCGGCAATGCTGCCCACTGCAGAGCGGGAGGCCAATGTGCAATTGGTACCCCCACACTTGACGGGCCTCGTTCTGGGGGCCGCCGGCGGCGGCGCGCGCTTCGTGAGCTCCCTGCAGCCCGCGCCAGCCGGGCGCGACAAGGCGGCGGATGCACGCGGACGCATCCGGGCGGGCCCTGGCAGGAGCGTGCCCACCGCCAGTGGCAGGGCGCCCGGCAGCAGCGGCAGCGG